GTTTTGGGTGTACTATTCCTTTAAAGTCTAATTTATATAGAAATATAAACATCAAGTAGATTTCTCTCCATCCAACAAATGAAAAGGTGGCAGATTTAAAGCGAAAATTAAAAAATATATATTTATACATATATTTTATGTAGTTTCAATAACTATTACAGCATGGTTTTAAAATGAAAATTTGGTTTCTTAGATAATAAAAAGGAAAGAAATGAATTAAATCTAATTCATTTTTGAGAAAATAACACTGAATACTAAATTCTCTGTGGAAATGCAAAAGTTTATGTTTAAAAAAATGACACTTCTTTAACTATCACCTGCAGTACAGTTTGAAATAAAATATCCGCTTTAAAACAAGACAAAAATGTTCAGCTAACCAGGTTTTAACTATTGTTTACAAACTGTTTCCCCAACAGAAAATGCTTGATTTTATTGACTCTGTCTGTTGTTGGGGTTAAATTCCACCTTCAACCCTAAACTGATGGAATAATTTAATGATCGAATGCAAAGCAAAGGAAATTAAAATAAAGCCAGAATGAAGCAGCACCACCAAAGTTGCACTGAGCTACATTCATATAAATGATGTGAAGAAACAAGAAAAACAGAAAATGAATTCCACTTTTTTGCAGACCTTCAGCCCCGCTGACCTGTATTAATACATAGACATTATATTCATAGACGCATCAGTGGTCGCTGTGGGCAGCGAGGCCAACGTGCCTAGAGGGCGGCCATCTTGGGTAGGACAACAGTCCAGACAGCTGCTGTCTTTCAACTCCTTAAAAGACCAAAACAAATTTTAAAATTACCTTTCACTGCGATTACACATATTTATTCAGATTAAAAACTATTTAAACTGAACTCAAAGTAAAGTTATATATTTTGCAATTAAATGCTAATGTGATAAAGTTTTTTGTTAATATAGTATAAGATATATAGTATATTATTACTATTATAAAATGTTTGTAAGGATTTGTTTTTGATGGAGGAGCATTTGTTGTAATGTGATTTACAAAAGAGAGTAAAGTTATTATTTTCTTTCTTTAAATTCATTTTATTTCAATTCTTATTTATTTTTTGTTATTGTCAAGACTTTGTTGTAAAATAGTAGTGAACAGTACATTTGTGTTGTGTCCAACTAAAGGCTTTTTGTCCTTATAAGTTTGTCTAAACTTCTTCTTTTTCAATCTATGTGTTTTTTTATCATTATGTATGCATATGTGAACATTTGTTATTTAATCAGTTATTGTGTGTAATATATATATATATATATATATATATATATATATATATATATATA